TCTTCCTCACACACAAAAATAAATAAATAAAATAAATAAATAAAAATGCCTTTTGACCTTACAGATATATAACTATTGCATGTACACAATACGTATGTGTATATTTACATAGGCATCTTTTCAGTGTTTCTGATTACACCTAAAACAATTTCTATCAACATTAAGAAAAAAATTTTTTAATATTTTTTTATCCTACTCAAACCACAAGGCCATAGTGGTATTTCCTAGAAAATTCTTTTTCTGGGGTGATTAAATGCTGGGCTTACGAATACATGCATATATATGTATTTGCTTTGAATTCTCATTAAACAAATACTGCATGATGAATTTTTTAAAATAGTAGACAATATTATGCAGAGCAAAAAGAGAGTAGTACTCTTCCAGCAATCGATTTTTTAACATCTGACCCAACAGAATGTTCCCCTGCTAATTTAAGTCAAAACACAATAAATACTTTTAATATGCCTGTAAAAGCTACCTATGTGTTATATTAAATTAATTCTGTACTTACAGGGCTCAATTTCTTTTTAACTTACCAAAGTCACACAGTTTCAAAACATCATTGTGGCTGATTAAGAGATTTTCTGGCTTTATATCTGGAGTATCAAGATTAAAAGACAATTATTAAAAAATGTTCCAAGTCTGCTGATTGACACTGTTAGATCACTGTAACAGCCCCTAATTAGAAATATCCAGAGTAACTTGAACTGAAACCTGTAGCAGCGAAAAGCAGAGTGATACATTTTATGCTGGTACATAAAAGTTTCAATTAATTTCTTTTTGAGAAGCACGCAGACCACAATTTCAAAAATATTTTTTCCCTTTAAATCTTAAAGGTATTAATTGGATCTCTGAAAGGAATGTAAGAATAATTGAATCTAGGCCATCACATTTGAAGGACTATTCTTACTTTATAAAATACTAATAATACAAATTTTTGGAGATAGACTATAAAATATTTACACCCACAAGATACCTTAAAAACACACATGAAAGTAAGTAGATAGCATTATATTTACTGTAAGAAAAAATACATATAAGATATATTTTCTGTTACAATTTTCTGTATAATTTCTATATTTACATATCTCTTTAGCTTTTCTGTGTGGTTCACAATTATAAATATCTAATCTGAAGCTATACTAAATGAGTCAAGATAAGATTTCTCATTTTTTCCATGTATCTTTTGAAGATGTGGGAGTTGAAGAATAAAAATACACAAAAGATGCAGTTTAATTCTCCCCTTGAAAGGCATCTCACAATTCTATTTTTAGAGTATCCGTCATCTATATCATATGGTAGAGGTGAAAATGGAGAAAGGGAAGAGGTAGGAGTGAAATCTGTAGATTTCAGAATCATGGTTTCTACTGCTAATTCACAACCATTAATTCACCATACATTTAACCAAATCACAGTATCACTACGGAAATGCAGCTAAATCTGTTCCTTGTTAATATCCTCAAACTCGAGTATAGACTGTTATTAGAATCATTACCCTTGACACTAGATGTCCATTTGACTTGGAGATCTATCCATGCCACCAACAACCTTGATAAGGTAACTGCTATGAAAGTCAAACACAAGAGAAACATATACTCTCTCTTTCTAGAAATAATAGGACTTGGCACTCTTCACACGACCTTTAAGCTATTCTTAAAGTGAGACTCTTTTTAAAGTGATATCCTTGTGTGTCTGTATAGGTAAATTAAATGTAGTATTCATTTATTTGACAGTTCAAAGACAAGAAGTGGATACTGCAACATTTTCTGATAATGTTGCAATCTTTTAGCTTCATTATTGTATCAATTTGTGTCCCATTACTGTAAAACTCTAGAATGCAAGAGAGATTATCAGGAGAAGATAAATGGTGTAGAGTCAAAAATGGTGCTGAGCAAGTAATTTGCCTTTTATTGCTATAAACTATCCACCTCATGTCAATAAAGAACAAAATAAAACAGCTTAAGGAAGTATAATCATGGCCTTTATGCAAGGTTGGTCATGCCCGCAACCTGCAAACAATGGGCACTCTTCACTAATGGGTAGGGAAAATCAGAGGGTAAAGGTTCAGACTGGAGGACCTGGGTCTGAGAGGAAATGAGAGGTGACTGTTAAGGGGGGTCAGTGACTTAGGGACCACCTCTAAAGCCTGATTCTGGATTGTTTCACATTACCTGGTCTACCTGCAGGACAAAAAGGCAATGGAGAGGGTCTTTTCCCCACCAAGCAAGCTTCAAAGTTCGCATCTATTGAGTTTTTTATATCACTAGGTGTTTCTACAGTTGAGAGTGGATCTGGTTATACAAACAGAGATCTCACCATAATATCCAAATAAATTTGCAGTCCGTCCTTTCGGTAATACAAAAGGAGACATGGAGGCCAAACAATGTCTCATATCCTGTACGTTCAAAATGTATTTAATTTAAATGGAACGTCAGTGTCTATGGAAATATTCTTAAGACAGTAATACGTGACATATTCTATTGTTAACTTGATTTGATGTTTCCCTTAATATTTTCCATTTCAAAAATTCCATACTTACCCCGATGGACAATATCATTCTTATGGCACCAGTGAATAGCTTTGATTAGCTGATAGATATAACTTTTTACTTTTTCAGGTGGAACTCCATTTGGCATTTCTTCTAGCAATTCAAGCATATTCTAAAAATTAAATAGGCAGTCATTAATCTCCAAAATTAGGCAGGCCCATAAATCATGTATTAACAATTTAAAATAGCATCTTGGATGATAATTCATCCAATACACAGCATGCATTTTTTAATTGTTTTGCTTTCCATCTACAACCTTTTCCATGCTGAAGCAGGATCTTGTATTAAATCAAGGTTCTCTTCTAAGAGAAATTCCATTTTTACTACTCCCCAGTGCTGTCCCAAATAAAAACCCTGTGCACTTTTCACTTTCCCTAAAACCTTTCAGGCATCATTTCAGCATAATTTCAAGGGAAAAGCAATCAAAGTAGAGACAACACACTGTAATGTATAAAGGAGGAGGGAAACAGTCATTTTAACACAGTGCACTATACGTGTTTAATAGAATTTTGCAAATCAAGCCTTAAAGATATTTCTGGGAGACCCGGAAAATATTCTTTTTTTTTTTTGTGAGGAAGATCAGTCCTGAGCTAACATCTATTGCCAATCCTCCTCCTTTTTTTCCCCAAAGCCCCAGTAGATAGTTGTACGTCATAGTTGCACCTCCTTCTAGTTGCTGTACTAGAAGTTGCTAGTTGCTTCTAGTTGCTTCTAGTTGCGCACACACTTAACGGCTAAGCCACGGGGCCGGCCCTGGAAAATATTCTTAAAGGAAATGATCCCTAAAATTCGCAGTGATCAATACAATCATTAAGAAATTAAAACAGGCTAGAAAATACTGTTGAAATAAAAATTCACAGACCCCAAACAAATCAAAATTCAAAAATCTTAGTCTGGGGGCCGGCCCCGTGGCTTAGCGGTTAAGTGCGCACGCTCCGCTACTGGCGGCCCGGGTTCGGATCTCGGGCGCGCACCAACGCACCGCTTGTCCGGCCATGCTGAGGCGGCATCCCACATACAGCAACTAGAAGGATGTGCAACTATGACGTACAACTATCTACGGGGGCTTTGGGGAAAAAAAAAAAAGGAGGACTGGCAATAGATGTTAGCTCAGAGCCAGTCTTCCTCAGCAAAAAGAGGAGGATTAGCACGGATGTTAGCTCAGGGCTGATCTTCCTCACACACACAAAAAAAATCTTAGTCTGGAGTCAGAGACATTCATGCAGAATTTTTTACTAAGTAGAAACTCCACTTAACCAGTCTCCACTGGATTTCCAGATCAACCAACCAGTCTCCATTCCCTCTATAAAGCACAAGACTAAGGCCTATGGCAGAATTAGAGCCTATTGTTTGTAGATGACCATCTAGGACAGCACTTCTCAAAGTGTGATCTGTGGATCTCTGGAGGGGGTTCTCAGACTTTGCTGAGAGCCCATGAAGTCAAAACTATATTCAGAGTAACACCCAGCTGTCTGTCTTTTTCACTGTTGGCATTTACACTGATGGCACAAAGCAACGATGGGTAAACTGGTGGCACCTTAGCATGAATCAAGGCATTGGATTCTTCAATGCCACAACCCTTTCAGTTAAAAAAAAAAAGCCAGTTTTAGTTAAGGATGTCTTTGATGAAGCAGTAAAAATTATTACTTTTATTAAATTTCAATTCTTGAGTACATGTCTTTTTAGGAATCTACATGATAAAATGAGGAATATGCATAAAGCACTTCTGCTGCATATCAAAGTCTGATCGTTGTCTTGAGGAAACGCACTTAGGCAATCAAGTTGCAAACTGAACCAGCCACTTTTCTTGTGGAACACCATGTTTTACTTGAATGAATGACTGACACATAAACGTATTTAACATAAACGTATTTATGTTAACATGTGATAGGTTTATTACTATTATTTTTAAATGAATAAACATTTTATATTGCTCAATTTTGACTCCTAATATGATAAATATTAATAGATAAAACCCACATAAATAAAAAGCTCTTAGGGTGCCCAGTAATGTTAAGAGTGTAAAGGAGTCCTAAGACCAAAAAGTTAGAAAATCGCTGCTCTAATACAACTTGACGATTTTGTTCCCACCAATCAAGTTGTATACATAGAAACAATCAGTTGTTTGTTTATAACACTTCCATACCTACTTATAACAGATGCACTTGTTATTTTAATATAATTAAATATCAAATAAACCAATGAAATAATGTTTTAAAAAAACAGAGTTGCTGTTTATAAGAAAACAAAGTTTAATACTTTGGAAAGATTTAATAAAGGAAAGCCACTAAACATATTGCCTCCATCTAATCAAATGTGAATGCAACAACTATAAACACTGGCAAGGGGCGGCTGCTGGTGGGGGTGAGGATTGCTTTGCAATATTTTTAAACTTTTGCTTCACTTTAAAGAAGCTGACACAGGATCTCACAGTTGATGTGTTATGGGTATGATGTATGCAAGAAAGACACATCAGAACTCCAATCAGAAGATCAATACTCAACAGACCTTGACTTTACCTCTAAAGAGTGGTAAATGAATATATATCGATATATTTTCAGTTAAAATAAAATGTTTAAAGTATGCATGCATCATTTTTTTTTTAACGATTCTCCACTTGAATTGCCTTTTTCAAGTAACAAATGCACAGGAGGTACCCAATACACAGGAGGAATAAGAGGGCTTTGTAATATAGAAAATAAATTGTATGTTTCATTTCATGTTCAACTCTAAATTCCTCAGCAGCAGAGAGGAATGGCCCCCAATATCCATTCTTCCCTTATTCCACAGTAATACAATTTGTAAGTAGATGCACAGGTGCCCAGAATGAAGAGTACATTTCCCCTCTGCCTTGCAGTTAGTGTGGCCATAAAACTAAGTCCTGGCCAATGGGATATGAGAGCTAGACAAGGGCAACATCTCAGGGGTGGTAGAGCAAAAAAGGCAGAAGCAACCTGGGTCTCCTACGGCTGTGGAGCAGAGCTACCATACCAGCCTGGTACTGCCTACCTTTGTATTTGTACAGGAGGGAGAAAGAAATTTCTATTTTGTTTAAGTCACTGTAATCCTGGGTCTCTGTTACAACCTCCTACCCTTTAAGAGCATCTTTCTCCTTGCCCTCTTGAGACTCATTGTCAATTGTTAGGCATTGCCACTGATGGGAGGGTGTGATAGTCACCTTCCACTGAAAAACCACAGGGCCAGGGCAAGAATCCCAGGTCTGAGCGTCAGAAGATGGGAGTTCTGACAGCAGCTCTGCCACTTACCAGCAGAGAGATCTCAGACACGACAAATGGTCTGATACACAGAGGCGATTTCTCCATTTGTTCATACTAAATTGTTATTAATTGTCAACAATCACCATGAGTAGAACAGAAATAAAACAGATAAACTGAAATAGATCTGTCAGAATTTTATTATTTGGCAGGGAAAACTGCAAACTGCATGATTATTTTTGACAACTAAAAATTAATATAACGAACATCTGATTTTACAGCCATCCTTTTTTAATAACTTTTTTTAAATATCAAATTTCAGTTTTATTTTGGTGGAGAAAGTCCCTTAGGAAAATACCTACGTTGACACAGAAAAAGAAATCTTAATACAGATTTTGGAAAAGAAACATAAAACAGTGTTTTAAAACAACAAAGAGCCCTGTAATATTTTTCAAGCTTTGCTTGTAATGAAATCACTATATATATTTTTTTAATTAGAAAAATAATTTTTAAAGGCTGAATTAATTCAAAAGGCACATTACTGGTGAGTCATCTTGGCACCACTGATTTCCATTTTGTGACAATGGTGGTGGTGGTGACACTGTTGTTTATGACATACAAAGCACCTGGGAATTGGCCCAGAGCAAACATAGACCTCTCCAGTCTTAATCTTCTTTAGATAATAAAATAGGAGTTTAGCAGGAGCCCCCTAATTTACTCATCAAGGAAACCTCTAAAGGTCTGCCTGGCTCTAGTTGATTCTACTCTTGTTAAGGCACTTATTTAAGTTCTTGACAATAACTGCTGTAGGTCAGCTGCTCTCCAAGAAATTCATAGGCACACAATACTGACTACTGTAGGGTACATTTGCCCTTAAGTCACATCATTAAAATTGTCACTAACAGTTAACAATTTTTTAAAAAATTACTAAAGCAAGTACGCAGAAAACTTGAACAATGTGTGCTTTTCTTCTTTTCTCCCATGCTTCCAATTCCTTTCTTGTGGTCTCATCTACCTCCTCAAGCCTCACCTTGTGCCCCCTGGCACATCTTCTTCCCTTGAAGCCAAAGCACTGGCAATTCACAAAAGGCTGCTTCATGAGCCCATTCAGTCGCCACTCTAGGTCTGATTCAGACACCCATCCTACGCTTGCGAGGTATCTTACACATACCTCTATCATCCTGTACCGTCACTGTCAATTTACTTGTTTCTCCCTCAAAGGCCTTGCTTAGGTTTAATTAAAATAAACCAATCTAAACATTACTTGCTGAACACAGATTCTAAGACTTCAGAAGCCAAATCAATACACTATTTAAAATTATCTCTGTACAGTAAAATCGTACAAAATCCTTCAATATACTTCAGGATTTTTAATGATTATGGATATTTTCATTTTTAAAGTCTTCAGATTATGAGTACATTGACAACTCATACTAGATAATACTACTTCCTTGAAGAATGTCAGAGACAGCCCTAAATAAAAGAGTCAGGCAAATCTCCAGAGAGTCCATTAGTGACTTACTTTTTCAACATACTCAAACACCAAGTACAACTTCCCCCTCCGACGAAAGGCTTCCTTCAGCTCCACAATATTTTCCTGTTTGAGAGTACGAAGCATTTTAAGCTCGCGTAAAGTCGTTTCCTTGACTTCTTCATTTTCTAGAATGTAAATGATGGTGAATAGAGTAAAATTAAAGCTTTCAAACCACTGTTCAAAAAATTGTAAGAACACTGAAAACATACCAATTTCACATTCCACTTTGAGTACTTCTGCATAAAAAGTCCAAGGGTGGAATATTAAATATCACATTTTTTTAGTGAAAGGATCAAGAAAAAGAAACTTAAAGAAGAAAAGGCTTACTTGATCAGCACAAACCTAATTTTCTGCTTCTATTTTATTATATTCCTTAGAGCATAACGTATGTGTACAACATAGACTTATAGATACGACATATGACTCCAGTGTCATTTTAACTCTAACACTACATACTGGGGAAGGAGGGAGTTTAAAAGGGTAAAAAGAAATCAACAGTCTCAGTGGGCAGAGGAACCTCTGTGAAGCATCTGTAGCAGGTTGATGTTTTCAAGTTTGGCCTAAAAGAGCATTTTATTCCTCAGGCTGCATGTGAGCCACCTTAGTGAACAGAGGTCACGTGCCAGGCATGCACAATGCAGCTCACAGTCAAGTTGCAGGGAATTTTAAGAGTGTCTGATCTTCTCTCTAAATAGCAGCTGCTATAGGTTCCTGTTGTCCTCCTGTGGCATGTCCGTCTGTCCATCCCAGATGGTACAGCTGTACTGGGCTGGAGAACTAATGCTGAACCAATATACCCTTCCATATCATCAACTTCACTCATGCTAACCCCCACAGACACGGAGGAAGGACAGAAGTCACAGTAACTCTAATGGATTAATTGGCAGGGAAAGTAATAGTTCATTTTAAATAAGTTTTTATGACAGCTTTAGATTTAGCCAGGAAAGTCTACCTATCATGTTTACGTATGTATAAACAAGGATACAGGTTCATAATTCCTTATCTGCAATTTCAAAAACCCCAAAATCAGTCTAAAACCTGAACGCTTTTTCTAAGTTTATGGCAAATCTCTTTAGAGGCAAAACCTGAACTGACATGAGACCACTTACAGTCTTTGTTTATCCCATTTAGTATGAATATTCATGATATGCTTTAGAAATAGTATCTGATTAAGGGGTGCTAACGTAACATGCTATATTTCCATTCTAAAATCCAAAAGTTATGAAGTCTACAACACATTTGGCTCCAAGGTTTTAGGTAAGGGTCAGAATCCTAGCTTGAGAGTCTAAGTTGTGTGACCCTCAGGTTCAGACATGTCTGGGGAGGAAGAAAATGGAGTTTGGGGAAAGCGGTGAGAAAGATTAAGATGCCTTCTAGGAAGAAATGCTTCCTAGGCAAGACACACAAGAGGAAAAAGCCTGAAGGGGGCCAAAGCAGGAGGGGAGATTCTAAATGCAGTGCCAGTAGTACTTCGATTATTTTCTATCCCAGCCCCTCTCCCAACCCCCATTCAAACCGAGTTTAAAGAAATTAGACTGTAATAAAAGCAGGGTCTTTGTAGCACCAGAGGATCTGTAACAAACAGGGAACATGAAGTCAACACTCCTTTGTGAACTGGTTACACAAGTGAAATATTCTCCCTACCTCAGCAAGAAAACTGTTGGAGAATGCTGGAGCACAGATTAGGAAAGAAGAGAGAGAGATACTGCCTGTCAGAAGGCAAGAACTAGCAGGAGCAAAGGCCAACAGTGGCATAAGCAGTGAACCAGCCCACATCAGGGGGGTCAACTGGAAACTGGGTACTCACAGGGCCCATGGCAGGGGAAAAGAGCACAAAACAGTGGGGGCCACCTGGCAATAGGGAGATGCAATGTGATCAGGGGACTTCCCAAAGTGGCTTAGAGGATTGTGGGGGTTGGGGGGTTGGGGGACAGAGGTCCAGCTGTTCTGCAAGTTGGGGCTGAGAAAGAGAAGTGGTGTCTTGTGACTGTTAGAACTGCTAAAGTCTAGGGAATGCTAAAAGCTTTTAGTCTTCCGAAGAAGGCTAACCTGCTCCTCTGCTATCCCATCTGAGTTACTCTCAAGGTTGGGGTAATCAAACTAAAATCCACCTATCTCCAAGACACAGAATGCCATGCAGATCTCAATAAGAAGCAAATGATCTTCCAACAAGGAAGTAATTCAGCAAGAGACAACTCATGACCTGGTCCCTGTCTGCTTTTCCATCCCCATCTCATGCCCTTCTCCTCCTCCTTCACGTTAGTCTTTCAGTTCCCAAAATAGCCCCAAACTTTATTTTTCAACCTTAGGGCCTTTGAACTTGGTCCCTCTGCTAGAACTCGCATTCTACTACCCAGACTCTTTACAGGGCTGGCTCCTTCAAGTTTCAGTTTAAATGGCACTCCTCACAAGCCGTGCCCAGACCACTAAACCAAAGCAGGCCTCCACTCCCGTTATTCCTTATTGCAGTCCTCCGAACTTTTCTTTCACCACTTGTATTACTGTATTTGTTTGCCTACTGGTTTACCACTTGTGTGGCCACTCCTGCTAAACTGAGAGCTCTAGGAGCACAGGTCTAAGTTCTGCTGTTCAACAGTTCACACCCTATCACTGAGCACTATACCTGCCACAAAGAGGGGATCAATAAATACTTCCTACGTGAATGCTTTCACTGGCGCCCTGAGGAAATCTTTGCTCATATGTGGCTAGCTCTTATTCCCTTAAGACTTATGGGAAGCAGCAATGTGATGGCAAATAGGCACTTTGCCCTCTCAGTTTTGAGTACAGTGCTTTCAATCTCCTCTCGCTAGAACTTTGAAAGGGCAGCTTTTCAGGCAATAAGACAAACTGAATTTATTTTCCCCTGTTCACCTCTACCCCTGGTTGTCTTCTACAATATGTGATTATGAAAAATGGAGGCCCCAGAAAACTGACAGCACTAAGGGTCAAGAACACATATATACTGAATCATTAAAAACATCCATATGCTATGCTGGAGTTGGGTACAAATAAACGTTGCAACAAAGTCCAAAGTAAATACAGCTGGTGTATCTTTTCTAATCAAATGCTTGGTGGATTCTTGGTGCCTAAAAAGCCACTGAAAAAAGGGAGCTTTGTATTATTAGCAACTTGTGGCGGTTTCACTTTGACTAACAGATAAAGCCACCTCAGAATGACTGAAGCAGAATGGCTTTAGCAGAAGGAACATTGGAGTAGGATTCAGGAGACCTCGATTTTGAATCCTTTTAATCACCTAACACCGCGACATGTGACTATGGGCAAGCCACAGGCATCCCCCCATACACACCCTAAAAATCCCATGGTCTTTTCCAAATCTAATGATCTGTGATTTCTTTTCATTAAAATCTCATTGATTATGAGCCTAAACCTCATTAAATTTTGGTACTTTGTTATATATACATCATTCAAATCTATACTGACTCTACTTAACAATGGTATAGAGAGAAGAAAAACGAACCTTCAAAAAGAAGCTCACAAAATCACCTAGCACGCAGTGCCAAAGCCACCTCATTTGAGTAGCCTATCTTTTTTAGGAAATGAAGGCTTCTCTAATTCATGCCAGTCATAGGTATTAAAAGTTGAGGTAAGTGCTTCAGCACTAAGATTGTAATGAATGGGAACAGGCGGGAAGTGGAGTTATTAATTCCCTAAGTGCAAGCAAAATGGTCTACTTTTCATTATTTCATGACTTGATATATCCTATCATTTTTCCTTCTCTGAGTACTTTTAAGGTTCCTGGCCTACCCTGTACTTTATGATGAAAATTGTGGCACTAAACGACCAGATGATGGGGAAAAGGAATGCACGTTCCACTTACACGTGCTTCTTTCCTCAGAGGTTCAGAAAGTAGCAAAGCTCTTCAGTGAGGCAGTTTTTTAAAGGTGGTAGCACAGCCAACTGAAGTGAGCACAAAAATCCCTGCCTTCCAGCTGAAATAATCCCATGGATTCTTTATTTAGGCTAGGCTCCTCTAGTTTACAAATGAAGAAACCAAGTCTAGAAAGAATAACTCTCTCAGGATGAATGAAGAGAATATCACACTGAGCAGAACACAGGGACATGGGCGACATGGCGTAAGGCAGTGAGTGAGCTTTGGAGAGTGAGCAGGAACACCCAGGTTCAGGTCTAGACTCTGCTACTCCTTAGCTGAGTGGCAAAGCAGCGTGGTATGGGTGGAAGAAAAACTCAACAAAGATCCTGGGGTCTGCATCTTAGTCCCAGTTAATCACATACTAACTGTGCAGTTTGGGGCCTTGGGTTCCTTGGCTGTAAACTAGAGTTGGGGTCCTACTAGATGATTCTGAAGGTCCTTCCAGCTCTAAGAGCTGGTACTTCCATGTGATTCCTGCTTCAGTGCATGCCGGTGGACCTGGTCATCAGTTACCACTGTGGGTGTTTGGCTTAGTTCAGGCAGCAACTCTGACAAAGTTATATAAATTCTACTGAGTGATGACTAAATGGCAGCGTAGAAAAAGGACATTATGTAAAAAAAACCAAAAACTAACCTACTTCTAAGCTTGCTAGTTAGGCAAGCTAACACATCTAAAAATCAAGAAGGGAGATTCACTAAAGTAAAAGAAAACAACTTTTAAGAAGAAAGATCACAGACGCAAAAGAAATGCAAAGATAAATAAGTGATGAAAAGAGAAAAATCTAAAGATGAGCAAAAACTCTATTGTAGCTCTATTTTTAAAGAACTGTGGGCTTAGAAAAGAAATCCAGAAATAGCTGTAACCTACTTTATGAAATCACAAACCTGACATTCTTGTATAGCCAAAGAGGGCCCCAAAAATGGACCTTTAAACAGGTACAATGTGGGGGATGAAGATAGTCAACCCATCTTTGCACAAAACCATAAGGGTACCATGTTTGAGTCTGGTTGCCCTGACTGAAGAAGAAATATCAACAGGAGGACAATTAACATGGCCAGGGGGAGTTGAATGGTGGTGCAGCTGTCATATATATCAAAAAAGATGAGAACCCTGAAATCTTCAGAGATGAAGGCGAGGTAAAGCACAATGGGAACTTATTAAATTATGAAAACTGCAAAATGTTCACCAAATCCTAGAAGAATCCCTGAAGTTTGAACGAGACCCACTTTGGACATTAAAAGGAAGTGTGGGGAAACCAGGAGTAGCCAGAATGCTCCAGCTTAGTTAACTGAATTCTCTGTTTAACCAGGGTTGGAAACTTTGTTTCAAGGTCTCTCTTACAGAGAAATCAGGTTCTTGAATTTAAGGACCAAAGATTATGAATTCTTGTTTTGTACCATTATTCAAAATAAGAAACCAGAGTTCCCTCGATCCAGAGATCAGGAGAGAGCTTTCCAGTGTCTGTGTAAAAATAAGGATGAAATAAATTGAAGGAAAGAATGGACGATCAGTTAAACATTTTCTTATGATTAAGAAGAATAAATATGTCCATTCCAAGAGAAAAATATTTATTTACAGAAAACATAAGCAGCAGCAGGATATGAAATGCAAGCAATTTTATTTGATATAAAAGCAGAGGCACAACCTAAATTCCATCTTAACCGTGGACCGCTACACAGCGCCCTGAGAGTCAGCCTCCTTACCATGTACCTAGGCCCACTGACAAGTAGGGAGGATCCCTCCTCACCCCATCACCTGTAAATTTGGGGAAAGACTGAAAAGTCCAAAAAAGCAAAAGGTGTTGTCACATCAGAAGATCCAAATGTATATCAAAAATAAATTCTAGGGGCTGGCCCCATGGCGTAGCAGTTAAGTGTGCGCGCTCCATTGCTGGCGGCCGGGGTTCAGATCCCGGGCACGCACCGATGCACCGCTTGTCAGGTCATGCTGTGGTGGCGTCCCATATAAAGTGGAGGAAGATGGGCACAGATGTTAGCCCAGGGCCAGTCTTTCTCAGCAAAAAAAAAAAAAAAAAAAAAAAAAAAGAGGAGGATTGGCCTGGATGTTAGCTCAGGCCTGATCTTCCTCACAAAATAAAAATAAAAAAATAAATTCTAGACCATAGGACCCTCTCAAGTAAATGTTGAACAGACAATGTTTTTAATTCTTTCTGGTCCAAAGCTATCTAGTCTAAATCAGTGCTCTTGGATTATTTAATAAATTGAGGCTGGCAGACACTTATACATGTGTGTGCATGAGAATGATGATCCAATAGTGATAGAAGAGTAGAACATCTGAACATCAAATCTCATTGTTCAAGATTAGAGTTATAGGAAGGGTAGGAGAATTAGGCTAAATTTATCATTATACATAGTCTGAAAAGTACCTTTTAACTAAATAATCTCTAGTATCTGTTTGGTCTGTGGTCATTTTTCTCCTCTCAGAAAATCCAAATACTGAGCAGAACTAATTCTATGGAGACTTCTAGTTGGTTAGGTATTTATTAATTAATGTTTCTCTGTGGGAACCTACATTAATAGACAAACATAATACTATCACTCAGGGTATCATTAAGAATTCATTATCGAGACTCCATATTTATGATCATGTATAAAGAAGCAAAAGTCATCAAAACAATAAAATATTAACTAATGAAGCAATCTCAGATAAAAATGTCATCACTCAAAACATTCCTCCTTTTTAACAGGAGTTTTTATCCCCAACCAGTGTGTCAAAGTCTTTCAGGAAGGATCATAGGCAAAGACCCTGATAAATGATCTGATTGAGTTATATCAGCTAACAACTGGAGAATAAAAAACTGACGAGGATGAAGATAGAAAGACAAGAACATACAAAAATGAAGAGTAAACTGACAAAGCTTTTTGTGTATTTTTTAATGATCCTCTTTTACCGTGAAAGTCATTCATTGACCTAGCCTACAATTTTACTGTAAAAATTGCCCCTCCTCCCCAAAAGATAACACTTGGTTTTTTCTTCTCAGAAATAGCACATAATTGCTATTATAACCTAAATTGTGTTAACTATAAGATAAAGTAAACTTATTTTCATAATTTTAGTTTCATTTTCCCAACTTAAAAAGTCCCAATCTAACCTTTTATTTACTATAAAATTTTGGTTCCCGTTTTAAATAATGATCTATTATCCTGGGACAACAAGGACCTCTTGAACTACATAGTAGTCTACCTTAAAATGTAGTTTCAAAAACGTTTTTTTCAAATTTGTGGATACATACGAATTTAACAAGAAAATAGGGCATTATCATAATCTCTTAAAGCTAAGAGAGGTAATATATACTCTCATAAAATATCCCTTGATACCATCAGTGTGAGAACATTTGATTAGCTTGAACATGGGTCAGACCAAGTTCAGATCCTATTTCAGTTTAACAATGTTTTTATAGGATTATTTTACTATCTTCACAAAGATTTTTAAACACTGGATTTAGAAAAGTCACTATCATAATATCAAAAGAATATTTTCAGAATAATAGAACAGATTAAAGAGAGCTATATGACAATAAGGGCAAAATTATCATGAAACTCTATTTTTTATTATAATTGGCTTGACTGAAATTTAAGATGATAAACTGATTCAGAATTAAGTGGTTTACATAAGGGTTGCATGGACATCCTCATCTGTACTAGACTATCTATGCACACTTCACACTCCAAAAAGGTTGTTCACCACTCATGTTCCCTTACTTTCCATTAAGCAAGGTACTACTCTGACAGGACGAAAAGGGTAAAGACAGAAAAGAGAGTATGAGATCTCCCAGGAAGAACTGGAACCAGTAGGAAAGTGTGCCTAGAATAGGATTGGAACTTAAAAGTTATGAATAATTGGATATGTCTCCAGATTCGATCACAGAAATGTTTAGGAAGTGTCCCTCTAGAAGTATGTACAGGCACACCTACAAAGGTGTCCATCTGCAAGTTGGGTAGGGGGGAAGACTGCACGCCTGCAAGGTAATGGTAACTGATAATGGTCAGGCAGAGATGAGGGCAGAGTGGATTCATGTTTTGTCAGCTCCGTAAAATAAGGGCTGATCAAATGTTTCCTATAATGTGTCGGCTATTCATACACTCCCAGGATGCCACAGCTAGAAACAATCTCTAACCCTTCAAAATTATACAAATTCATTCAGGCACTGATTGTTTTCTACTCTGTTTTACTGCTATTTATTTACAGGTCTTAATTCTACTAACAGGTCATAAGCTTCTTTAAAGTATCTGAACCTGATTTACCTTCATAGCTCTGGCTCAGTGCTCAATGAATTTCAACAGATACACTCTTGATTGCCACTTTGAAGGTATCATTAACACAGGTACAAATATATCATTTAATTGAAGCTAAAAATTGGTATACATAGGATAGACATTGTGAAGAATATGTTAGTGTTTTTTAAAAAAAGCAATGGCATACGTGGCCTAGATGCTTTTCAAAAATTTGATGACAACTATTATTTTTAGTGGCAACTGACGCTTGATGATATGCCTTACAAGATGAATGCACAGCCAGAAGTCTTTACACACATGAGAAGGTTGTGCTTTGATCTACTGTTGCAACCACTAGTTTTAGTAGATCACCACTTGTCTCTCAGCCGCCTGTGGTTAACCCAAAGCCACTGCTCAAAGAGCTCATTTCCAATGATCTCATAGTGGGTTGGCCTGGGGCTACTGCTTCCTTGTTAGACTACAGGTACACCATTTGAAGCACTTCTGTTTTGTTTTGTTTTGTTTTGTTTTTAGAACAAGCTAAAAGCGTTTTTTACTGCCTTCTCTTTAAGGCTGCAGAGACAATGGCTGCTCAAGCTCCCCGCTCCACATAATCAGCACATCAAACACTGCTGAATCTATCCCAGGATTTTGTTAGTGAGCCTTTTTTGTGATTTAATATTTGCTAAGTCTCTAAGGTAAGGGTGATGAAACTGTTCACAAATAGAGAGGCTGGTGTCTTACAGTACTTAGGCAATGTGTACTGATGAAGGTAGGCTATGACTGCTATTGTCATACTTCCACTTAGATATGGGGGTTGATGCTATGCTGGTGCCTCTTACTCCTGGAGCACTATTTTTCAAATGGCAGGTTGTGACTCATTAGTGGTGAAATCAATGTATTTGATGCCACAATAGGCATTTATATGAATTTATATGAGCAGGAAAGAACGGAAAGTGGAGAACCTCACATTCCTAAAATAAAGTAGTTCTGTGACGCTTTTGCTTCAGTTATATATAGGACATCATGTATGTAGATAATGAGTTAGGATGTAAAAAATATTTCTACTGTAGGTCTCTGTGAAAAAAAGATGGAAAAATCCTGCTTAGAGCTTCTTAAAGGCCATAGGTGTCTTTGTGGTCAGTTTTTCTACTTGGTTATCTTTGGACGGCAAATAGTCTAGATTTAAAACCTAATGAACTACTGAAATGCTTTATGTATTTATTGTTTTTGTACCTTACTTTTTTTGTGTACATTACTGTTTTTTTAATGCTTTACCTTAAACTATCTTGCCTAGCATAGGGTAATTTTAATACTCCATTTGAAATGGTCTGGATGTGTGACCAAAGCCTCCAAGTATGGTATTTCTTCTTGTAAAGCTTTTATTCTTCCAATGAGTTATTCTAAATATGAAATCACTCCCTCAATACTGTCTACATACCACTTATCCTTGTATTTCTAACTGACTAGGAACCAGAGAGCACAGTAACCAATACTGAAACCTTTCACATAGCACTTCCTACTTGTGTGAACCCACAGAAGTATTTACTTCAAATTAGTTTTCTCATTTCAGTAATACTTAGAAACAGTGTAAATAGTATGCCTTCTACCCAGCATTTGAAGCAAGATTTCCAATACCTTAAAATACAAGATGAGTTTTCTAATATCATGAGGTTTGAAAAGATTCACACAGAAGGAACTAGATGTTTCAAAGCAAAGCATGATAATAAATAAACTATATTCACTTTCTGAGATTAAGACTTTAAAATCTCAGGAACAGAGTCTAATCAGCTAGATCCTATCTCTACCACCATTCTATTCACAAAAACTAAATACAGAAAGAAAAAAAACAAATATATATATATATATATGTATATATACCTTCACTGTCCTTGAATTTCTTGATTGCCACAATTTCATGTGTTTCCTGCAAAGGAAAAGAAGCAGAAATAAGTCATTCTCCAGTGTTTTTCAAATTAAGAATTCCAATTGTCTGGGGGTATATTCTGGGAAAGAGTAGCAAGAACCCAGAGAGTAAAAAACAGATCCTCCTCCTTCTCAGTTCTTCATTTCTTGGTTCACAAAATTCTCTTTCTTACCACTCCGCAGACATTGTCAGGGAAGGAAAAGGAGAAGGGGTAGGGGTTGGGAGGCAAAGAGCAGAGAAGGTGATAGAACATGAATAAACCAGAAGTGTCAATGTCTTTAGGCTACACAAAAGTGCCAGGATGACTGACAACAGAGCAGCATCTGTACTGCCCTCTGAAGCCCAGGGACACATTTTACTCGGGCTTCGAAGACCAGAGAACAGGCTTCTACAATACTTGGTAGTTGCTGGTAGCAGAATGCCTCTCCTGAGTCTCCTCCTTTCACTTCCCTTTTCCTAACAGATTTAGTTGTTCAGCAGCTCTTCACTATCCATGGTCATTGTGAATCCAAAGTGGGATAAACATTTGCCACCAAATACGAATCTCCACCTTCCCCCTGCCCTTATTTAGCTCTCCTGGACTAACAGAAGTAGTTTGTGAGCAGGACCCTACTTTAAACTGAAACACCACAAGTCTTTTTTTTTTTTTTTTTTTTTGTCTTTTTAGGTTGGAGGAGAAGAAAATAAGGGTTGGAAAGAAAATGGAAACGCTAAGAACTAAGTACCATTAGATTAAATAACTCATGTCTAATTCTGGTCTATAAAAGGAATAAAAAAGCTTTTGGTAAAATAATACACAGGTTCTTCAAAGCCAACATGTCATACAGAAAGGTCTTCTGAATGACTCAGGTCTGCTCTTTTTTACTCTATGTGGGTACACTTTTAGATCTGTAGGAGCAAATCATTTAATAAAAGATTGTCCCTGCATCAAAACAAAGGCTTTAAAACTGGACACAATACCAGGCAATAACCAACAAGGTACAAATCCTTAATGTATTAAAAATATATGCTTTTCTTTAGTTCTTTACAAAAGCAAGGAGGATCATGAATGCGAAAAAAAAGTGACCATTTTAATCATTACGCTGAAAGACAAACCCTGAGTTGTAATTATGTCTGTAAATCAAACACTTTCTGTTTCTCACCTGCCCCTTAAAAAAAGAAGAAAATAACAGCTTTCATATTTGTGTTAAAGGAAAAAAATTTATCTGATAAGTGCTATAGGCTATTGAGGAAAAAGATTCTTCTTAAAAGTACTACGTTTTTGTTTTTAATAGAGGAATAGATAGAACTGTAGAGTACAGACAGCTTTTGGGATACAATTTATTTGTACTCACTCTTCCAGGTACTTTCTGATATTGTAACTGTTTTGTTATTGGGAAGGAATAACTACTAATTCAAAGTGATGTGGGGGATGATCAGCTAGAAGATCAGTACAGGTGGAACCAGGTAACTGTTCTAGGTACCTACTCTCTCTTAATACACTGATACCATTTTCTTACCCTGCTCCTTTTCAAATGGTTCTGGCTAGCAACCTACCTACGGCATAGCACAGGGCTGATCTTCATCACCAAAAAAAAAAAAAAAACCCTGTCAGGAAACTCCACTAACAGCACAAAGAAAGGGGTAGCATGATATGTGTCCAGGAAGAGAATAAAACTGCTCACATCTCAACTTCGAGTTGTTCCAGGCAGTGTTTCATCCTATACTGCACTCTAAACTCAGAGTCCCACCTACATCTTTTTATTGCATCCTAAGTGTTAACTTCGTCTTTTTATAAAAGGTCTTGCTTAGTTCAAATCTGTCCCCTGATACAACTACAAATTTAAACTTATAACTAGCACACTTACACCATCTTAAAGAAAGAAATCCATTCATTAGTTTCTGGCATCTCATAAATAGAATTTACTGTATAAAACAGTTGCCTGAAAGGGGATCAAATAAAATGAAATGTTTATTCTTTTATTTATCCTTTCACCAATACCATGGAAATCCCGTCTTAACACACACACACACACACACACACACACTCAATACGGTTTATATATTTACTTAAAGAAGGAAGCCAAGTAGATGTAGTTTTCTACATAAAATCAATTCAGTGTTTGGTGGAAAACACATGCGATTAAGAGCAGAAGATGCTGGAAAGAATTTCACATTTCACTTTTATTCAAACTGCTTATAAAAATAATACAAACTCATTACAGAAAATATAAATGAATATAAAGGGTATAAAATGAGAAGAGTATAAAAGGAATAGAAAGAAGAAATCAAAAACTATTCATGTCACCCTTGCTAGCATTTTGGTATATTTTCTTCCAGTAAATTTTTCTCAAATTGGAATAGTAATATTGTATTATAGCGTTGTATATTGTTTTTCTTTCACCTGATATTGTATGAGGAACATTTTGATCTGTCATTAAGTAATATTTAAAACCATCATTTTTTTTGAGGTCACGTTGATTTATAACATTGTATAAATTTTAGGTGTACGTCATTATATTTTGACTTCCATACAGACTGCGTTGTGTTCACCACCAAAAGTCTAGTTTCCATGTGTCACCATACACATGTCCCCCTTTACCCCTTTCGCTCTCCCCCTGCCTCCCTTCCCCTCTGGTAACCACAAATCTTAAAACCATTTTTAATAGATGGTTATTTAACCAGTCTATCAATGAACATAATTCAACATCTGCATCTTTATTCCCATAGAGTAAATTCTGTAAGTGATATAATTGGGTCAAAGGGTATAAACATTACTGCCAAACTAATATCCAAAAATATATCATTTCACAGTTCTCTTCAGCAGTATATGAGAATTCCCACTCTATAACCACAGCCAACACTGAATACAATCATTAAAGAAAGTCTTGAGATGTCAATGAGATCCAAGAAGTTTTTCTTCTGTCAACTGGTAAGTGAAATAAGGTCTACTAAGGTTAATTTTTTTTTTTTTTTTACTGATTCATGGATGCGAAGCTGTTGCCAAATTTTGCTACAAATATTTTCCCCAGATTGTTGTGGTCATTGAATTATTTAGGGTCTTGTTGTTGTTGTTGTTGAATATAACTTATTATTACATAGTCAAATTTATTGATACATGCCCACTACTTTTGTGTGTGTGTGTTGAACTAATATTACCTGGAAATCAAGGACTTAGAAAAGTTTTTTTCCAGCAACCTTAAATGCTGTTTCTACTCCTATTTTTCTAATATTTTCCACTAGAAACCTTGTAACTTTCAGGTTAGATCTTTCATAATTGTTTCGTATATTTTGTTTGCTAGGCATCATAAGTGCCTAGAATAGCAGGCACACAGTAGGTGTTCGATAAATAGGTGTTTTGTTCTTTTACTCCCTCCATTTTAGGTTTCTTTATCTTCTTTCCTTATCTCAGCCAACTTCTGCAATTTTTGCCTTGTTTCAGCTTGTTCTCACTATAGAGGTCATATCTCCTTCTGGCTCTCCTTTAGGAGACTTAACTTCATCTGCTTGTTACAAAAAATCATTTTTAGAACTATGTGTTGCTTCTAAATCTTCAGAGCAGTGTTTTCTTTATCTTCCCATGTCTTTTCATAAGGTCCCCCCACCTCCTTAACTCATCCTTACAAAGACAGGAAGAGATCCAACAGACCTGGCATCTGGCAGCAAAAAGGGTAGTTGGGTATTTCACCACCTGAATTTCAACAGCAGACTGATGCACCCGAGCCCATTTTCAAATCCTGGATTCCTGGCAACCCTTCTCACCGGGTTGGCTGGTCTGAGACTAGACCACCTGGGCAGGGTTCTCTGAATAAGCTCTTTGCCGAGCCCACACTTCCTAGCACATCCTGCTCCCACTGCTCTACGTTCACCACATCTCGCCATGGGGATCTATGAATCCTCGGATGCAACATGCCACTTCCAATCCTTCTCTACTTCTTGCCTTACTGTATTTGGGGCATTTAGTCTCTGAAAAGATCTGGCAATACAGGTGCTGATGTGGGCTGGTGGGAGACAAAGAACTCCAGCTCGCGCAGGGTCAGATGATGGTTACCACTGTAGATGGCTGCCTATTTCTAGCCCCTGTGGTTTCCTACTCTTTGGATAGTTTGCCCTATTCTGGCTCAGAAAGTAGAATAAATAGCATGACATTCAAGGTTGCATTTTTCAATCCATCTCCCTGGACTTTGCCAACGATCTTCAACATTTAATTTCTTAATTTACAGAACTTCTATGAGTTGTTTTTTTTTTTAATATCTTCATGAGTATTTAACGGAGAGGTAGGAGGTGATACACCAAGTTTTATTACTTGTACTACCACCACCCAGAAATGCTACACATAAGTGTAGACAAAAAAAGAAAAATATATGAAAAATAACTCTAAAAAACTGTTTTAAATTCAATTTATTCACAAAAGCATGCCATTGCCCCCACAACATCTGCAACAGAATGTCACAAGCTGTAGTTAGCATGATAGGCAGATTTGCTACTTGTTTCAGTGTCTTGCTTTGTTTAAACAATGAGCTAGTTAAAAGCTGACATTTTAAACAACAAGCCAAGGATGTGATAAAATATATAAGTAAACCATTAATGATAATTCCATACCTCACCCTTAATTCTGCCTCAGAATTGGAATTATATTACTTTGGAATGCAAAAAGATAAGAGTTCCTGATTGTACCGCTATCTCCACAAGTGAGCAAGCTATATCAAGACATTTAACACTTTCCAGAATAAATTTCCTCAGCTGAAAAAAAACTTAAGAGAATGAAAAATAAATTTTATGAGTAGTGACAAATAGAAAAATATCTGGAGGGCCTGTATTTCTTCCAGTATTCTCAAGATCTCCACCCCATAAAAATCATGCCTCAATTACTGAACAACCATACTGGACACAGAGACTTGTAACCAAAACTCACTCCTGCTGCTGACTGTCTAAAGGTCCTGAGTCACTGGTTTATTCCCAGAATCAACTGTCCCTTCTTAAGATGTTGGCAAAGCAACTAATTGGTATTAATAATCATA